TAATCAACAACGTGCGATGGCATCCCGACATTTTTCTCCTGAGTGTACTGACGCCCAGATTGCCGATGAAAAGGAATCAATTGACACACGCTCCTATTGCAGTCTAAATTCAGGAATATGTATGCCATCAGTCTGCCAGATTTGGAAAGCTTTGAAGCCACGGGGATTAAGTCCCCTTTGTGGTGGAGCAGTGTGGCTCTGGCAGTCATATTAACTATGTTACGAGCTTCTGTGTTCCGCAGCATAAATTGCCTCCGTGGAGCTGCAACACCTTGATGGAAGAAGGCGGCGTGTGTGAGGCTTTTGCTCGGGCAAGTGTGTCTGGTTGTGGTGCTGTGCCGGCGGGGCTAGCTAAGTGATCTGCTGGTGCGTTGCCCTCTGTAATAAAACCTGGAAGACTGGTGTGGCTTCTGATGTGAAGGATGTAGTAAAGACGATTTCTTGCTTGAATGCTACGCCGCAGGGTTTTGACTAGGCCAAATAATTGTGCATTGTCAATTTCCTTTAATAGAGCTGGATCTAATCTCTGTGTAATGGCTGCAACATCGGCAGAGTCAGTGACTGTGTTTAAAGGAGTATGGGGAAAACGCTGAAAAGCCACGGTTATGGCATGTAGCTCAGCTAACTGAGCTGACCCCTTTTCATGACCTAATGTTTGCCACTCCCTTTCTTCCTTCCACAAGGAACAATTGCTTTTCCTGGTGGTTTTTCCCAAACCGTCAGCAAACACAGTGAACACAGTAATACCTTTTAAGGGAGTTCTACTCTTCAGAAGTTTCAGGGATACTGCAGTGGTCTTAATTGCAGTGACGTATGACTCGGTAGATGGTAAGAGATTTGCCCTGAGAAATTTTGTAAGGCACTTGGCAAAGCAGTGCTCTTGGCCTAACACCATTCAAATTCTTCTTGTGTTATAGGAAGAATGATTTTTGAAGGATCTTTTGCAGTCACTTGTAAGCACCTTTGATGACATCTCATGATTAGCTGGGCAATTAATTCAAAGATGCTAGGGGCTGTCTTTTTTGGTTGATGGGGTAAGAACATCCATTCTAAAACATGCAAAAGGGTCAGACAACTGAGTACCCCATTGTCCAATAATTGCAGCAGGATGGAATTCAGCAGTGCATATAAACACAGTGACACACACTTCTGGGAAAAGCCGGTGGACCTGTCTGTTTGTGAGGGTCTGCTCTCCTCTTTCAAGAATGGCTTTTTGCTTCCTGAGGGAAGTTAGATCAAGATCACCCTTTAGGAGGCAAAATAAGGGTACTAATTGTGGAGCGGTGGGTCCTAGATAGGTTCTGAGCCACTTGATAAGAAGTTTTGAGCATCACTGAAATTCTTAATTTTTGTTGAGAATTGAATTGTTTGGGGCTGAATAGTCTGATGCATAATTTTGAGCCCAAGGTACTTCCAAGGTGGTTGCTGCTGAAGCTTTTCTGGTGCCACTTGCAGCCCAAATGATTTTCATGCTTGTATCAGGCTTGGCCAAATTAGTGAAAGATCTTCTTAGTTAGAGTGGCTATTAAAATGTCATCCATATCATGATATAATGATAACAGTAAGGCAATTGTTGCCTTACTGATGAGAATGCCCGAGCAACATGCCATTGGCAAACGGTAGGGCTATTTTTCATGCCTTGAGGAGGAACTTTCCATTGATTGTGCTCCAAAGGGGCAGTGTTCTTAAAAGAAGACACTGTGCAGGCAGACTTTGAGGTATCATTTGGCTGTAGTGGAATAGGAAAGAAACAATCTTTTAGATCCACAGTCAGAATGTCCAAGTTGTCAGGAAGCATTGTGGGAGATGGCACAGCAGGTTGTAAAGCTCCCATGTTTCTGTGACTACACTGATTTTTTTTCAGGTCCTGGAGCAACCTCCATTTCCCCGACTTCTTTTTGATGACGAACACCGGGGTTTTCCAAGGGCTTGTGGAGGGTTCTAGGTGCCCTTGAACCAGCTGCTCCTGTATCAAAGACTTCAGGGCATGTAGTTTTTCCTTCTCTAGGGGCCACTTTGGTACCCACAGAGGCTGAGAGGTAACCATTTTAGGACTAGTGTATGAGATTTCAAACAGCCCTTTCAAACAGTAGCCCCATCAAAAATCTGTCCCCACCCGGACTCCCCAGGCAGATAAAACATCCCTCCCCAAGAGGTTAGGTGGTGCTGCAGTGAAGTAAGGTCAGATGGTGGCTGTCTGACCCTCTGGACTTTTCAGCAACACAGGCTTACTGCTCCAAGAGCTCTACGTGGTCCCATCGAGGCCAGCAACAGTGGATCCCGCAGCTGTGGTGGGCCATGATGAAGGCCAAGTTTGGGCAGAGATGATGCTGACATCTGCCCCTGTGTCAATCATTCCACTAACCTTTATTTGGGAGGGCTGTGCCCACGGCACTGTGATAGTACACACCATGTTAGGCCTCTGATCGCCAGCAACCTGGGTCCAAAATACGTGAGGTTCGTTCACCTGTCGACCTCAGGCCTTGGTCTCCTCTCACCTTGGGGTCTGTATTTGGAACACAAGACATCAAAGGGATAAGCTGGGCTATTTTGTATTTTTCAGGGATAGTCACAATAGTGGAATAGAGGGGTAGCATGTATTTATCCGGTGAAGTCTGAATTAATAAGAGCAGGGTGTACATCGATATCTTGCATAGTGGCACTGGACCTTGCAAGTACGAGTGCTCTCAGCCTTCTCCCGATAGGCCCCTGGGCATCAAGTGGGATTTGATGTACTTTTAAGGTGCTTATGGTCACTGAGATGAGGGTGGAAACATCCATTCCAGCGGCTCCTTCATTCCTCCCTGTGAGCTACTCGCACAGGCTGCTGTGATAGATTGGCATTTAAGAAAACAAAGAGAAACACCTCAAGAAGTCCAAACTGCTAGAGGCTGTTTGGTGGGAGTTTTTCTCCCGGCCAACAACTGGCCATTTCTAAGAATTGACATCCATTTTGACTATTGAAAAGTGAGATCAACCTGCGAACGCCACCATAAGACCTAAGCCTGAGAATTTCTTTGTCTCTTTGTTTCTGGCTGGGAAAGGTAGCAGAGCTCCAGCTGGCCTCCCGTTCCCCTGCCCAGGCCATGTGGCCCGCGCAGGGGCTGGGCTGGGCCTGCCGCGGCTCCCGGCCGAGAGATGGGGCCTGCGGAGCTTCCCCCCGGGCTCTGGCCGGGCCAGGCCGGTCCCTGGCTCGGCTGCAGTTTTTGCTCTGACTGAATTCACCAGAGATGGTCGAGTAGAGAAAGAAAAGCGCTCTTGACTTGCGGCGAGCTGAGACAGTGACCACACTCTCTAGAGCTACCATGAAGAATCTTCCATCGCAGACAGCTCCAGCTGCTGCTCCGGCAGAGATCACAAAACCATCTACAAAGCCTGGACAAGGTTTTAACCCTTTCATTACCCAGATGTGACTGGCAGATTAATGGGTTTTTTTTCCAGAGAAAGAAAGAGAGAGTAATCAACATGTAAAAAGAGTTTATAAACTATCAGAGACGGTAAAGAAAAGAATTAAGCTTTAGAAGAGATAAAGAATAAGGAGATGCTTTAATAAGCTGAAATATTTTTCTGTGAAAGCTACAGAGATAGACAACAGCGTTCTGAAAAAACTGCTTTAATTCATGACAGAGTATTTTGGGAGGAATAGAGCAGTTCGAAGTGTGGATTTTGAGCAAAAGTGAAGTGGTTGTGATACAGTGAGGTGCTGGAACAGAGGGGGAGAAGTAATAGTTGAAGATTTGTGGCTTTGTAGAAGCAAAGAGAAAACTTCTGTTTGCAGGGAAGCTCACAGAGACAAATGAAGAGAACTTTTGCCTTTGAATAACTCATCCTTAAAAATGACATCCCCAGACTCATTTGACCCATAACACACCTCAGAGTGATGTAAAATGAGAAAAGACAACTGATAGCAGATTTTCAAGCAGCTGACATCAGAGAACTAGAAAGCTATAAAGAAAATTAGTGTTCTTGTGAGAAACTCCATAGATTCACAGAAAAAGACTTCTGTTTCTCTACAGAGACTGATAAGAAAACTCTAGCAAGAATTGGGACTGTTTTAAATACCAAAGTTTTTTTGTTGCTATGTTGTCATGATGAATAAGAAAATGGCTGAGTAGTGGGGGAGAAAAGGGTTTTCTGGGAGTATTATTCTTGTTTTCTTATAGTTATATTAATAATCTTTCTTTATTCCTTTTAAGTTTTATGCCTGTTTTGCTCTTCTTCTAATCCATATCTCACACCAAGAAAGAAGTAAGTTTTCTAGTAATTTTTTACTTAGTGCTTTAAAACCACGGCACCTGCACAGGAGGGCAAGGAGACCTCACACTGGATTTTCCCTTTGCCTGCTCCTTGAGACAATGTCTGTTAGTATGGAATTGTGATCTGCATTGCTTGGCTAAATGACCGGGTTTTCCACCCTTGTTACAATTGATGTCCATATTCCTCTGACCCTGGCATGTTCCCACTGAGGCGGCCTTGCGGGGACAGTTCATTTTTAGGTGGCTTTGCTGTCTGCATTTCTAACACTGACAAGGTGACACTCTTACAGCAGCGGCAATTGAAACAGCTGGTAAAGTCATCCTGTGGGAATGAGAACCAACATTAGAACAGGCAGGGATCATATCATTTAGTGATGGATTTTCATTTGGTAGCAGTTCTATAATCCTTCAACCATCCTCGTTCGCATTGCCCCTTCCTCACTGCAAAATCAAGGCATTTCTGGCCTCAGGATTTGTCATTTGTTTCTCCATCACACCTTGTAACCTTCACATGAATTGTAGATATGCTTCTTTGACTCCTTGTTGGATTTTGGAATACGCTTGTGTTGGATTGTCTTATTTGCTACTTTAAATAATGCCTTTGTTCCCAAGTATTTCATCCATGCCATTGTTAGTGGATGCAGTTTGGCCTGGAGTTTTGGATGTCTCGCTGGTGCTAGTCCTAAAAGCTGAGGGACCTTGGCCTCGTAACATGGATCTTGGAGTGGAACTTTTATATTGTTTAACTCCATGATTATCAGCGCAGTGTCTCCATTCCATCTGCTGATTCCAACAGCATATATTGGACAGTTGTAAACATTCATTTGGCTAGTTGCTTCATGTCAAATGGTGTTCCTTCCTCTGTTGTTAAAGAGCACAGCATATTAGCAACGGCAGGCAAACCTGATCCGTGCTTGGCAACCAGCTGACGCAGCTCAGGAAGTGCCAGCCATTGGAAAGGGGTGCATTTCCCTGGTAGATTTCCACTGCCTCTTACTACGGGAGATGCAGCAATTGTCCCGTCCTCTGGCTCCCAGCCCCCTGACACGGGCACATCCATTTTTTCTGCTCCTTCACTTTCCCCACTCACAATAGCTGCCTGCTTCACCTTTTGCCAGATGCTTACAGGATCAGGCAGGGCTGTTGGCAGTGCAGTGATGGCGGTGACATCTCAGGGCTAACCAAGGGGACGGTGGCTCTGGCTCTCTCTGGTTGTATCCCTGGCGTCCCTTGCCGCTCTATTTTCCAGAGGTAGCTCCATCTCCGGTGATAGCAGCGTGTCTGCTGCAACAGCAGCGGCAACATCAGGACTCTGTGGTCCACCATTATTTCTGGGTATGATGCTTCACTGGGCACCAGATGCTTCTGATGACACGTGTGTCTCAGGCGAGCGCTGTTGTGATGCTGCACAGGTGCGTTTGAAGCAGCTGCAGGATGCTCTTTCTCCATAGAAAATGCGTGGCCAGCACAGCCAGGCACGCTCACAGAATGCCTGCTCATCAAGGCTGCGGAGCACAGCTCCACAACAGAAGCAGCTTGGCAGTGGCCAGGGCTTGACAGCAGCTGGACATGGTCCCACATTGCCCAGCAGTAAGCACCTCTCTGCAGCACTTGGAGGCAGGGCACGGAGGTGTGGCAGAGCACGGAGCGGCGGCAAACCCCACTCCATCACCAGGCACTGCCTCACTGGGGCAAGGAACCTCATCGGAGCAGCCAGGTGCCGCTTCAGGCTTTTCTGCAGGTGCCAAAGCCCATGCACCCATGCACCCATGCTGCTGATGTCCTGCAATTACAAAAAAGGAAAAAACAGAAAGGAGAGGTGTTGACCAAGCATGGCACTCTACAGCACTGTTAGTAGCTCTAAGGCTGTGGGCAGCTTTTCCCCTCTGTGCCACGGCTGTCCCACCACTCTTCACAGCTCAAATGCTGCCAGCAGCTTTTCCCAGATGCCCCGTGTCTATCCCACAGCTCTGCTCAGCCCAGATGCTGCAGGCAGTTCTTTCCAGCTGTCTTTCTTCTCTGCCCCTTCTGTCTCCCCGCTCCACCCCTGACAGCTCCTGTATCACTTCCAGTGGTCACCAGTTGTCGCAGTCTGGGAGACACACAAGCGACAAGACACGCTGGGTTCATGCACAGCAGCCACCTTTCACTGAGTTCAGCTCTCTTTATATAGATCAGAAGGACTGCACGGGCAATCCCCACTGGCTGAACCGGTTGCCACCCGGTCAGCCAGGCAAGAGCTGCTCTGTCCCCAGTGCTCTAGGCCTGCTCTCCAACAGCTCCCACTGGTCAAGTGACATAATCGAGGCACTTACATAAACACACACCTTTCACTTACAGAACGGGGATTCATTATAATTGTGAGGCCTTCAGGCCAGCTGTTGACCACCACAGTACAGGAGAGCCTCATTTGTCTGCCCTTTGAGGTGGCTGCTCACTGCAGCCTCTTGAATCTGGAAACTTCATCTGGAGACTGAGTTCTCTGCCCCATGTTTTTTCCCAGAGACCAGGGCCTGTCAGCTGCTGTCCCAGGTGGCTTTGAGGGTGGCCCCTGTGACCCTACTGCAAACAACAGCGGACAGTGGCAGGTGGTTGTTTCCAAAATCACGTCCTTCAGGGGCAGTGTGCTGTGTACATCCTTTGTCCAGCCAGGCCCCAGACCTGGGGATCACATGCAGGCACTGCTGCTGCTGCCACTGAAGTCAGTGAGGATTTGCTGGTTGGCTTCCATCCCAGCAGAACTGGTCACTTACAAAGCCAGGGGCTGATGCTGTCCTGCAGATCTCTGGGCTGCATGGGTGGGAGGGAGCTGTCCCTTGCTGTTATTCTCCATCAGGAAAAGCTGTGCCAGCCAGGTGTGCATCAACACAGCAAACAGGGAGTGTGAGAGTCTCTTCCATCTGTGTCTGCTGAGAGTTTTGACTTTTGAGATGAAGTGGCACAAAGTCCATTGCTTTAGGTCCCTCTCTGTATCGCTGTGTTAGATAATGCTGCTACCTCGGCCTGTAGCACAGCAGCAGGGCAAAAGCCTCTCAGCTCAGCAGGTGCAATAAGCTGCTATCAATGCACAGAAAAACTGCATTTTGTCTTTATGAGGGAGATGAGCACTGTTTGAGCAGTGAGAAAATAGGGAATGATGCTCCTGAACTTTCCTTCTTTCCTTCTGTCAATTACAGGCAGATCTCTGTGGCTCCTGGGTGTGCCCATGACTGGCAGCAAAAGGGGGAATCTCCAGTGCCACACCCAGGTTGGGCCATGAGGTGCCAGGACCAGGAGCATGGCCCTACATGAGCTCACCTGCAAATTGTGTCTAGACTTGCAGGTAGGTGCCACAGCCCAAGTCAATCAGTTGGGCCTGTCTGGTGGCCAGGTTGAGGAGGATTTGTTGGGTTGGATGTCCCTGTGCAGCATGTCACAGCTGCTGCCGTGCCATTGCTATAAACGGGCTCAGAGTTTTTGGGTGGAAAAACAAAGTCAAGCCCTTTATTAACCAAACTACAGAAAAACACCAACAGAGGCAAGAGACACTGATTAGGGCACCTCCAACAATTATCAGTATTTTCTTCCACCATTTATGGGTATCATTCATTCCTAGATACTGTTTCCAAGGCAGCTCACCTACAGAAAAAGTGAATTTAGGGCCTCTTCTCCATGTACACTCCTCACCAATGGCATCAGATCGCAAGCTCCAGACTTCCTCTTCTGGTCTTTTATCTGGTGTGGATTCTCCTTTTTCTAATACCCATAGTAAATTCTGTAGGCTCAAAGGCATTCCTTTCCATGGCCAGATTTCGGCCATTTGGGTGTCACCACAAATCCAAAAGTTAGTAATGTTAAACTCACGGCTTATTCTCTCTGCCAAATCCAAGAATAGGTTTTCCCCCCTATGGTACCTGTATCCCAGGTCCCTGCTTTATTATCCCTCTCCCCTCTCTATCTTTGATCCAGTCTGGCTTATAAACTCCTTTGGCAGTACCACTTGCAATAGGCTTTTTCTCTGAACAAATCCAGTTCTCCTTCATAGAGCATTCCCCCAACAATTTTCATTTCATGTTCCCTACCTTTTCGGACAGCCAATACATTTTCCCATCCTCATTACAATAGTCAGTTCTAAAAAGTTGATACAATTGAGGTTTGGGTTAGTATGTACTCTGAGGACGGCAGTCCAAGAGTCTCCTGCATATGTGGGGTAGTAGCACTTATCACAGGGAGCCGCTTCTTCTCTCTGGACCATTACTTGTAAGAGGAGAAATACCAGCAGGAGTCTGGTACAGGTCACTTTCCCACCCATGCCTCACTTTCTCACCTGTGGCTCTTTTTGTGGCAAGAAGTGTATCCTGATCCAGTCATGCCTCCCTTCTTTTGGCACTCCTTGCCAGCTACTATTTTACTTCTTTGTTGCAGGAGCTTGTCATTTTCCCTTTTGTATCCATTTGCTTGTTTCTTTTAGGGCCTGATTGCTAGATGTGTGGGAGAATGCTCTATCTGCTTCTTAGGATCTTGGCATCTGCAACAAGAAATACCAGAGGTTAACAAGGAACCTTCAACCTCGTACATTCTCATACGTTAGACAATTTCTTTAAATAGATTATACACAGTTAAAACTTAATATATTTTAAATACATTCAACAAGGGTTGAATATTTAAATAGAGTTAAATAATTAGTGTGGCTCATAGTTGCAACTTTTAAAACAGACTCTTATTATTTCCTGTTCCCAGGAGGTTGATTTGGAAATTTCTTCTTTCAAATGAGCTTGGTGTCTGACACTTTTGTTGTTGTCCATTCTGTGGGAGTAGAAGCTGGTTCCTTAGGAGCAGGGACTGGTCCTTTGACTCTGGTGACATGTGTCCATCCCTTTTCGTGTGTTTGGGTCACTGTTTCAGTGATTAGCAAAACTCAGAAGGGACCTTCCCATCTTGGAGTTAATGCTTGTTCTCTCCATGTTTTAATCAGGACCCAATCTCCAGGTTTAAATTTATGTACTTTAAAATCAGAGGGGGTGGTTTGAGGGAGTTATCCTTTCTCCCCTAATTCTTCCAAGGTGTTAGCCACTGCCTGTATTTATATTATATATTATTTCTATTATTGTATTTTCTGTATGTATATTACACTCCTCATATGTTCCAATGGTACCCGGAGTGGTCAGGAATGGTAGACCAAACATCATCTCGTATGGGGAAACCCCCTAATCTGCTCTAGGTTTTGTCCTTGCCCTCGTTAAAGCAAGAGGAAGACACTTAAGTGAATTGCTTTTTGTCTCTTCTGTTAATTTCATGAGGGCTATTTTTAGTGTTTGATTGATTCCCTCAAAGTTCCCGTCCAGAACTTTGTGGCCTCCAGGGGGTATGGAGTCTCCAAGGCATATTTAGGGCAGCTGTTATTTGATGGAGGGTTTTTGACATAAAATGTGGACCTCTGTCTAAATCTATAGTATTTATTAGTCCATACCTTGGTATAAATTGTTCCAAAAGGAATTTATTAAAGACTTCTGCTGTTGCCTTGGTGGTTATGAGTTAGATGATCAATTATAACCAATAGATATTTGAATCTTTGTACCTGGGGAAGTTCACTATAATCTAGCTTCATATTTTGGAAGGGTCTTCTAGCCAATTCTCTTCCCTCTTGAGGAAATTTCCCCATTACCTTTTGGTTTACCCGTTAGCAGATCGTGCATTCTCGAGTTATAGCTCTAAGGACTTCAAATACTCCAATAGAGGCATAAGTCCGTACAAAGGGATCATTAACGCTTGGGTCCCCCAATGGGTTGAAGCATGGAGGCTCTCTAACACCTTCTGAGCCAGTGGTTTGTTTAGTACTTGCCTCCCATGCAGCATCCTCCATTCCCCTTTTTCATTTTTAACAGCACCATGCTTTTATAATTCTTCTTGCTCTTTTTCACTGAATATCGGAACTCCCTCATCTTCTTTGTTTCTATCATCCTTACCCCCCACTTCTACCAGCTGTAGTATTTTGCTGGTGTTCTCTAAAGCAACTGCCTTGGCTACTTGGTCAGCTAAGTGATTTCCTTTTATTCTCACTGAATCTCCTTTCTGATGTCCTTTCACGTGGACTACTG